CTTTCACACGGCTCTACAGTCATTTCTGAGAAGAGACGTGTGAAAACACTTTTATAATTTAATCAATTTTAAATCTTATTCACCACGTTCCTATAATGTTAACCTCCGCATGCTTTTGATATTAATGGTTTATTAATTTTAGTTRTAGTTAATACTTATTTTATATCACAATTGCGTGAAATCTCGTACATATATTTTATAGGTCCGTAACACTTTAACGAAACAGAAGAAACGTGCTAATGACTCTTGCGCGTATTTTAATTCATTTCATTTTTAACATCATCCCCTGTTGTCACGTGTCGTTGTTGCAGCTCGGAAATGTGTAGCGCCGAGAATATCATGGGCTCCAAGTTGATGATTGCCGTTAATATGCCGAGCAAGAACGAGCTGTTATTGAAAGAAGGTACACCTGAACCATCGAAACAGACTAAAGGCAGTTCGCTTAAACAGGTGTCTTTTCATTGTTATTATTGTTTTTATTAAGTTTAATCGTAACTTTTTTTTTTATTTAAACTTTGTGGATACAATTAGTTTCAACAATTGCAATTAAAATTACAATTACTAATTACAAAATACAAATACAGTAAATACAATTACAAATACAGTAGAAATAGTACAATATAAAATTAGATTAAAAAGCCTGAATGGTTAAAGAAAGATAATATATTTAATATGATGTTTTTTTGTTGGTTTGAAAGATCGTAACTTCAGTGCGAAATATAAAATTGCGAATTATGATTTTTGTGTTCGAKACTTCTATTTTTGTCTGTCTCTCACTTTCTCTATCACTAATCACGTACCAAAATTTAAAAAAAGTTTAAGAAATGTTATATTTTATCTAAATATAAATACATTTTTATCACACGATTACATATAACTATTAAACGTTATTTTCACGTCTAAAAGTAAATTCGACATGTTTAATATTCAGTTTACGAGCCACTTTATTATTATATTATATGAAAAAATAACGGAAAATATTTTTTTTTTTCATTAATGAAACGCGAGTAAAATATAAAAAAAAATATCTATCAATTCAATTAAATGCTTGTAAATTTGTATTTTGACCAAAAAAGGATGTCATTATTATGCAAATAACAATAAAATATGATGAACGATTGATAATCAATCGATCAATGATGATTCGTTACATGACTAACACTGTACGCACATTGAGTAATCACATTCCTATACATTGGTACAAATGTTCAATGAAATAAATAATAATGATAAGAAAAAAAAACATTTCCTATGAGTACTTAATATGTAATTACTTATTCTTATATTATCTTATAAAAACCTAAGTTACTATACCATATCACCTTCAAAATACAAAACATAAAATAACAATAGCGATTGCCAAGACAATATAACTATATCAGCTATAAAAAACTCAATAAATACTATCGTCGTGGTATTAAATCCCTACTCGAAATTCATTTATTATAAATGTCTTTAAAACGCGTCAATTATTCAGAGCACCAATATGAATAAATAGTTTATATAAAGTAATCATTAGACAGCATATATAGTTTTTAATACTTTGTACATATTATAGACATTGAAAAAATAAAATATTTTGATTTACAACAGTAATTTTATAAATCAAGTAGATCTTTTAGATTCTGAACGAAG